ACATTAAAAAAAATATGTTGATTGAACATCCCTGTGTGAGATACTATGCTTATTTTTGGGTGTCTGAGATGAACCGAGCAGGATCTTTGCCCTTAAAGATTTGTCATGCCCAGATTAGTGGAGGAGAGAATTAAATAGGTCATTTTAGTACAAATGTAAACACGTGTCTTAGTTCCTCACTCTTCTGATGTGCCTCTTTCCATCTAATGCTTTCAGTGGGCTTTTCTAAGTGCTGCAGAAATGCAAGGATTAGTATGCTGTGAAAAGATTGAAGAAAGATGCCTACTTATTTTCAAAGTCTGGTTTCAGCTCTACATCCTCCAGGATGATTTCCACTCTACTTTGATCTTTGATTTACCTGAAATCCTTTGTAAATTGCTGCTTAATCATTTGGTTCTTAATCACTTTTCTACCTTAAATAGCAATTAAATTGCTTCCTGCACATATGTTCTATGTAACCAGCCAGACTGTAGTAAGCTCTCTGAGGGGAGCAAATTGTATTCTTTTGGGAAATATGCAATATCAGCATTCTACTGACAAGCCAAATATTTTATTATTGCCAAATTAAAGATGAGTGGAAAATATTCCACAAATAAGAAATGCAAGAATTTGGGATGCTAACTTAAGGCACCTATGAAATAGTATTTCATAACATTTAAAATCTTTTTGGTATAATTTAATCATTTAAGTTTGATTAGAGACAGAAAAATGGTAAATATAAACTTATATCTGTTACCCAGTAAAGATTCCACTTCTACTTTTAGTTTTGGTTCTACTGTATAAACAGGTGATAATAACTTCCACTTACTCACATGTCAACAGAAAACACATTCAATTGAAGAGTGAATTTGAAGAATGAAGGACAAATGGAGAAAACAGTCACTGATCATTTGTTTTAATATCACATGCAGAGATGGTTGGCATGGCAAACTAATAAACCTTCCATTTGCATTATGCTAACATCTTACCTAAATCTGTTCCCTATATATTGTTCCAAAAGTTTTATCATCAATGGTTTTAAAAGAAGTAATATCTAACAATGAAGAAGTAACTTAAACTATTAAATAATTATAAATGTTTACATTCAATAGGTAAGATTCAACTACATGCCTATTTATCTGTCACATCTGTCTCTTACCTTCATTTCCACTACCAATAATAAAATAATAGGCTTTTTATTTCTTCTCACCTATATTACTATAATAACTTCACTAATTTCTTTACTTCTCCCTTGAGTTTTCTCTCATATAAATGCTGTATAATCTCTTTATATTGTGATTTCAACCTTGTGATTCTTAGTCTAAACAACTTCAGTGCCTTCTGGATTATAGAAAAAGTTTAAACTATCTCACATTGGCACTCACTAATTTCTGGGCTTTGCTTACTGTATAATCTGCACTTTCCAATTTGTCTTCTTCATCTACTTCTATATACTTCCTCCTTTAAAGTAAAACTATTCATTATTCTTACATATACCTTGAACTTTCTAATCTCTATTTTCTTGCTGTCTTTCCTACTTCTAATACACTTCCAAATTCTACTCATGGTTTAGGGTCA